GGCCATGGCCGAACTCCTTTCCGGATTGCCAGGTTTGGAATTCCAGCCAGATGGAACTCGAGCAAATGAAGGAGACCACGGAGGTGTTGCATCGATTGGGGATAAAAACACAAAACACGTGAAAAAAAAAAGAGATTCCATTGATTTCGCCATCACAAGCCAATAAAATCTAAACTACGTGACAGCATCAACATTGAAGCCAGTTATGCAGGGGGAAGCACACCCGGACGGTCAAAAAACGGCGAAACGGTTGCAACCACCCAGAATGAATGTACAAACATGGTTTGTAGTCATCAAACATGGATTGTCCGCTTCCAACACCAAAAAGACTGACACAGACAGAAAGAAGCTCAAGATGAGACCTTGATAGGGGTAGTCACTCAGGATTGCAAGACGAAGGAGGTGTCAATCAGAAGGAGCTTCAAACTGACAAAGCAAAGCATAATTCATTAGCATTCAAGCGTGTTGCAGCCAGCGTATTGCAACCATCATCCACAAAAGATTTGCTTTTGGCAATAAACAAATCCTACTCACTAATGAAAGAACAAGACACTCACTAAATGCAAAGAAACCAGTGCTACCGAACGATCCGTTTGGGTGATATCTCAATTGGCAGGCGATACAACCCCCATAGGATTTGATGTTCAAGAGTTGCGGCTCTTCCCGGATCCAAACCGCGTTCCTTCTTCGGATGATCCGTGAATTGGAGATCTCCGCGGTGTTTCCTGAGAGCATACGGCGCTCCCCTCTGGGTGCTTGTGAAGCCAGAGGTTCCTTTCGGCCCGCTTTGTTTGGCTGCCAGGAACAGGGTGCTGCCACCATGCACTTTAGAGGTCCAGAAGGAGGAGGTCTTTTGCAGGTTTGCTTCCAAGGACTTGTTTTGAAATGTTTTGAAGGTTGTGTCAATAATGGATTCGTTTCCGCTTAGATTTGTCAAGACCTCCACCAGTTCGCGGATCTGGCTGCAGTTCGTGAAGGTCACGAACTCATCACGGTCACCGGAGCCTTTGACCGGTGGTCACGACGTCCGACGGACACGGGCTCCACATGGGCGAGCGAAAGCCTCAGGTGGGAGAAAGCTTTTCCGACATGGACGAGCGGTGGCCTTAGAGTGCACACGCGATGTCTCAGGCGACTGAAGATATCGACGTCTCTTTTTGACCAATGGGACAACCCACAAAGAGACCCTCGGGAAGGGATCACAAGTTGGAATGATGTTCCATGATGTTCCTCTTTTTTGGAATGATCCACTTCAGATATACAAGACCAGTGGATGATGTTTCCACGGGACATCTTGTTGCGAGATTGGAACCAGTTGAGTTCCAGAATGGCCAGCTGGGTGGCACCTGGAAGCCCAGAACTCACCCTGGTGGTTGACCGGGCGTCTGGCGTTTGTTCATGTTCAGGTGGGAAACACCAGGGTGTCCCTGGTGCCATGACCCACAGCCATCCGCCCCAATGGAACGGTCGCCAAGCTGCGTTAGAATTTTGGCCGACGACTCTAGCTGGACTGTGGGTAACTTGCTGCCCGCTTGCCAAGTACGGTGTTTGTCCCAAGCGGCTCAAGCAAGCAACCTTCACAGAGAGACCCCAGGAGCTTCGAAGATATTGAGAACAAGGTAGGATCATCCATAGCTTCTGAAGTTGTGTTCGAGAGCGGAGTCACAGTCAAGGGCGGAGTTGACTCATGTAAGCCTTCTGCAGTGCAGTGTTGGTGATTCTTTGCTTCCTATCTCAGCTCCCTTGACTGCTGCTGGACATCTGCTGAACCTTCCAGAAGTCTCTGGCGGAAAATGGAGGAGGCCTGGATCGTGTCAAAGGTAATAATTTTTGCACTTCTTCTCAGCCAGGAGTGAGGATAGCTGCAAAACCTGTCAAGATCTCATTGAGGCAAATTTATTTTCGCAAGAATACCGTTGGACTGACGGTCAAAATCACAAATCTTCAGGAACGAAAAGTACAACAATCTTGACCCCAAAAAGTACCGCCACTCCGAGTGAAATGTTGCATGGCTTCACAAATATATCATTAAATTAGACCGTTAGATCCATGCTAGTCTGCAGTCCATACTGTCAAACACACCTTTTTCTTGGGCAAACCATATCGACGGAGCGAAAATTCGTGGAGCTTCCCAAATAGACCAACTAGTAACAACGGGCATTTAGGAGCAAGAAGCTACTAACTAGTAGCTCCTGGCATTACTACTAGTAACAAGAAGCTACATCGGAACAAGTTCATGGCTACTAGTAACAGGGGCATTACTAGGAGATACTAGGAGATACTGGGCACCGCTACTAACAAGAAGCTACGATGTGAAGCTCAGTCACGCGACACCTACGTCGCGTGTCCCGGCGGATCTCAGGGACCCGGCGGGAGAAAACGGTGGGCTCTACCGGTATGGTGGAAGAGACCCATGAACAGAGAGAAGAAGAGTCAGAAGAGATTTTGTGACCATCCTCTTTCCAAGTTTGCAGGTTTTTCACGCGTTGTGTGTAGCAATTTCTGTATTGGAATGGTCGGGCGGAGAGAGCGTGCCTGGGTTACTGTAATGATTCACCCCCCACCCCAATCGATCTTTCACAATCCTCATTTCTAGCTTGGAGCTTGCAGACGATTCTAGTCTCTATTTGCTAGACACCGCCTTCCGACTTACCGCAGATGTTTCACCTCCCCAAGTGAGTTAGTGTCATTTGCTTGTCCTAATGGTATCTAATGGTCCTAATCCCTGGATATCCCTGGATCACGCAAGAAAAAGCGGCTCTTCGCACCCATGATCTTGCGCAGATTCTTGGTCTTCCAGGTTGGTTTTAAAAAGGAACACGGTGGCGTTACTAGACGATCTTCCGTATGAATTCTTGGAAGACAAACAACATGTTTGGGAGCTTCGAAAGACCACTCCCGCAGGCACAGGTCGTTTTCTCATATCTCCACTGCTTTTGGGTGGTTTGGATGCTTTGAGGGTTTGGGTGCTTTCCGTCTCATGTCCTTTCCGGCAAGTTTCCTTTACAGCCGTTTCTTCATGTTTCTTGGAATCAATGGACACAGAAAACGTCGTGTTTCATTCTTCTTCCCCCAAATCCTCAGCAAGCCTTTGCTTGCTCTGCCTGTGGGAGGCCAGAAGGGAATGTCGGTGGACGCCATTGCAGATGTGTGGAGCGTGGAAGCTGTGGACATCGTAAAGACGCTCGAGCGAAAAGCGATCTGCTGGAAAGGACACCAACTGTCACCTGGTAGATGTCCACATGCGTTGGATAGAAGTCCTCAATACTCCCCTGAGGTTTGCATGAACGTTTCCGGTCAAGCTTTCTGTTTGAGTGTGGTGATGGAGCCCCAGTTGAAATGCCACAAAAGTGATGAGGACCTTCGCCCTTGCCCTGCTTTGCCTTTCATGCACTTTACAATGACCTTCACTTCTAGGCTCTCTTTTGCATCTTTTGAACGCTTGTCATGTCGCATCGCAGTCTCTTTTCCATGCCTGCAGACAGGACAGCCAAAGCAACACTCAGGGTGGCGAGCATGAATGCCTCAAACCGGCCACTCGCTGGACCAGCATCTCAAAAAACTGTACATGGTGTCCTTCAATTGCCCCCGAGAGTCGTGTCCTACCAGCCTTCCAGAGCCGAGGTAGCGCGACGATCATCCGCAGGAGCTTCGCGCTACCTCGGCTGTCCCAGGAGTTGATCGGCGGATCCGGTGGTCGCGGCGAAAACGGAATCACTTACGAATTCGGCGCTGCATCGTGGGCAGTGGCTTCTGTCGAATTCGGGCAGTCCAACCACTCGTGAGCCTTTGTCAACCCACGAGCAATGAGCAGTGGTTCTAAACTTCGAGACTGAACGCAGCTCCAGTAATGATGTGTTTATGGAACTGAGGTGCTCAACTCCAGTCAGCATGTGAAGTCTGCGGTTATCGCGTACAAGGAGAGAACAGTTCAGTCAGGAGGTTTTGTGCGTGGCTGCGCAACTACAGGGAACTGAGGCACTGAGATGGCTTTTGAGAGGTGAGCAGTTTGTGCGTTCGTCGTTACCCGATGTATCTGCCAAAAGGAAGCTGTCTTCGTTGCTGCTCCTTCGGGGAAAGCGGATGCAAGAACTTGTGCCTATGCTTTTAGAGGTTAGAGACTCCGCAACTTCAGGAGTTGTTGGCAGACATGGACGAGCAAGAAGTTATATGGTTTCTTCGTCAAGTAGATGAAGACATGTTGAAAACCTTGACGGTGCGAGACACCCAGAAGATCTTGATCTGCAAGGAGCTTGCTCACAGATTCGTCAGTCGCAGACGCCCAAGCTGAGCGCTTGAGTTTCCTCTGGGAGTTCCTTTCCCAACAGCAGGAAAATCACGATGATCAAGCCTGGGTAAAAGCAGCATCTTTGGTGCTGGCAACTGTCCATGGTAGACTGACAGCAAGACTGGAAGAGCTTGACACGAAATTGCTCCGCCATGCCCTTTTCGGCAAAACAAGGAGAGTGCCACTGCCTTCGCAAGGGAGAAGTTAAGAACAGAAGTGGTTTGTTCAGCTGAAACTTCATGAAGAGATTTCCCTCAGCCACTTTCACATCCCAAGGTCAAAATTCTTGCGCAATGCATTGCATTCCTTGTCGTGCGCATTGTTCTTTTGCGCTTGCTTATCGAGAGGCGCAGACTTTGCTGCCGCCCACCGCCTGTTGCAATTGCAGGACGGTGAGAAGTTCGCACAGATTGGCAACCCGTTCAAAGTCACCGGAGAGCTGGCAGACGCAGTGACCTTAGCTTTGCTGTGCCCTTCTTGCTGGCTTGTCATGCTTTCATGCTTTCGTCGCATGCTTCGTTCAAGTCGTCATCATGTTGCTACACAAAGTCTTTAGCTCAACGTGGTTAATTTCAAATGTTGATGACCTTAAGAAAGTCCAGAGCTCAAAGCTTGTTGTTGTTCAATCAAACTTGATGCTGTGCCTTGGTGAACGTTGAGTGAAGAAGACCAACAAAGCAGCACCCAGCCATTCGGCATCCGTTCTTGTCGAATGGCCTCGCTCATGGACGGCGACAAAGATGAGAAGCTCGACTTGCTTGTCGAAGCGCACGGCATTGATGACTCTGTTGCACATGTATGTTGTGCCCTGTCGAAGCAGATTTGTCGATGTATGTTACACAAGCGCACAGCTGACAACAGCAAGCATTTAGAAGGGTTGTGTCTGAAAGTACAACTAGAAAAAGGGCATGGCTGTAAGACAAGAGGACGTGAACTTGTCCCTCGGAGTTTGTGCTCGGATGATACAAGATGGTGCAAAATGATTGGCGCACCCAGTGAGGTGGAAAGCAACTCCATGGCCATGAAGTCTGATGACGTCGTTTGTTTGTTGATCGAGAATGACTTTTAAACAAAAATGGCGCATATGTTTAACGAATATGTTTTCGCACATTTTCTGAAAACTGGCCCTTTGAAGAAAATGCTGGCCCATTGCAGACATGTTGTCCGAGCGACTGCGGTCTGGATATCCAAACTATCCCTTGAGCAAGAACATCTCAACAACCTGCGTGGTTCGCAGCTCATGCTTTTTGCCGACATGCTCAAAAATATCCAACCGACAAGCAGATGGAGGACGAATCTCATGACGCAATCATGTATGCACTCTCTCTGGACCATACCAACGCAAGATGCGTCGACTATTTTGTGTGAGCTTCTGCGGAGCATCCGAGGCAAGTGCGAAGAACTCAGCAGCAAATGCCAAGAGCAGGCTCAACATGCCATCAAACCTCATCGGACTTGTCGGGCTACGACTTCACCAACTTCAACTTCACCAGCTCGATGAGAGGCAGCTGGCTCAGCGAGAAGTTCCAGCTCGGGGCGTCCGGCGCCCAGGCCTCGCTCGATTTGCGCCCCGTCGATCTGCAAACAGTGGCCTCTCTGTATCTTCGAATCAGCGAGCCCGTTTAGGCGAAGTGGAGATTTTTCCGTGGGCCGTTGGGAAGACACTATACGGAGCACGAAGAAAGCCAAAAAGGGAAGCTGGCAGCAGATCTGGTCGTGGGAAGAAGATGGAAGAAGACATTCCCCACCTCGAACCTCTCTTCCGGCATCAGCGTCCATCTGCGTCCGCGCGTCCGCCGGATCCTCCTTGCAGGGCCGTCGCTCCAGGCTTCTGAAGAACAAAATCGCACGGCGGTGCAAAGTGGGTGGGCGGGTGTTCAGTGCATCAGCGGAGGTTTTTTGTGGGTGTGGGGGAAGTGCTTGGCATGTTTTGGGTTTTCTTGCATGGAAGCAAAGTTGCAATAAACTAACAGGGTTGGTCCGGTTGGTATAACGTCAAATTGGTCGTCGAAGCTTGTGTGAGAACCACGCCCCAGACAGAAACTCTTTTTTTCACTCCAAAACAGATAGAAAAGTAGATCCGAACCAAACATGTATTGGAATCCGTGCCACTATCTATGTGGGAACCACTATATATTTTAGTGAGTTAAGCTATGCTAAGCTCTTCAGACACTGCAGGCTGAGAGTCCGCAGAAGCGGCCACATACCAGGTAGGAGTTGAAGCGGCCACACGTGGCGGTACGACAAGGACACACACAGATCTTGTGGTGCCTTGTGTTTGAATTGGTTATTTTTTCCGAAAACACACCGATCTGATCGGATTGAACGCAGAACTCCGTCCTCACCACGCCGGAACGGACCGCGTTCCGACGCGCGGAGGTTCCGAATTTGTTGTTGAGATGCGCAGGAGATGGGTTTTAAGGGGGTTCCATCCACAGGAACATCTACAGGAAGACCATGGCGTTCCGGCAAAAACACGATGTCTTTTTCCATGTCTTTCCTGTTAGATGTTCCCTTCAACATCCTTCAACCCATTCTGGGATGAGCTCTGTCGTGCTGCGCGTTCGAGGTATGTGCTGCAGCGACTTCGGGTGGCGATGCCGAGCGAGTCGGTCGACTCGGTGAGGCAGAAAAAGGAAGAAATGATGTAGAACTGATGAAGGGATGTAAGATCCCCACCCCCTTAACCATTGTTTTGAGGGGTAGGGATGATGTAAGCTGTATATAGTTTGGGGAGATGTTTTGAAGCTGTAGTTTTGGGAGATGTTTCTACATCCGTCTTCTGGGATGTGTTTCTTCTGGGGTGTCTCAGGACTTTGGGTGGACAGAGTGAACGTGGGGATGCACTTCACTTGGTGGATGTTGAAAGTAAGTCCAACGACGCAGTAGCAGTTTTTTTTGCCAGTCACCTCCCCAGCGAAAGGACTCAAAAGAAAAAAGAATGCCAAATATGTTTGTAAGTCTAGTGACTTACAGTCGTAGTCATCCACAGTCTTCGTACCTATAGCAGCGCAGTTAATGTTGTAGTTCCTTCGATAAGTAATTCATGGTTGATGGTGAGGGGCTCCGCTCCAACTCTACCGTCGAAATAAGACGTGCACTCGAGGCACACGCTGCTGGGTCGGCACTTTCCCATCGAGGTGTGGGGAGGGGGGGCCGTGCGGTTGATGGGAAGGTGGCAGCCAGAACTGAAGTCAACAAGACGATTTAAAGGGGTCGCATGGGGTCCACACTTGAGTGATCTCAAACTATATAGATGGAGATGATTGCCTAGATAGATGGAGATGATGTACTTTTCCAGCTGTATTTTGGGCCACTATAGATTGTGAGCGAATAGTGTATCGTGTTCTGTCCATTCAACTTTGAAAGAAGACGTCCTACTAGCCCTACTGCCCTGAGAATCAAGAACCCTCAAGGTCCCCTCCATAGCAGGGTCCAATGATGCTTAAGGTAGGTGCAATACTGACTCTTCCGGAGCATTGAAATCAGTTTTCTGCTTTGCCTAAGCTGGAAAGGCCAGTAGCAACACCTGGTTCGAGGCCAAAGTCCTGGGACATTTGTTGAGCTGGAAGGCCTTTGGTACCCTCCCAAGAACTACAGTAACAGCTCAGCAACACATAGCAACACGGAAAACTTGGTAGAGATGTCTTAGTGTTTTCCATGTTTTTTCCCATTTTTCCATGTGTCTTTCAAGGGATAGAGGAAACACACATAGGTCACGTATTTGTTTCGACCCCGGGTGCCGAAACACCAGGTGCAGCTTTGGCACGAGCCCGCCATCCACCGAGACATCCGGATGCTCATTGCCGATCGAACCAAGGCGCTTCCTTCACCGGAAAGAAAAACAACGATTCTGGATGATTCCAGGTACTATAGACACAACCCCTAATAGAGAGTGGCAATCTTTTCCAAGACATGTTCTACGTGGAGATCTACGAGCTTCTATCTATTTGAGGGTCCATACTGCGACAAACCTGCCACGACAGTATAAGACATTCGCAGAAGTGTCTACTGTACTGGACACGGAACCGAATGGCGAAGTAATGCTGACGGTTGATTTCATCAAACTCTTATAAGCTCTGACTCACTAACATGGAAGTGGATGGCATGGTTGGAAGACTATTTTCCTTTAGAAACAGGGGGTTTTCCACTTCCATGCTAGTGATAGTGAGTCGGACTGTACACTCCCTGAAACAATCTTGGTGACGTGGATGGCACGGCCCCCATAAGGATGAGCATGAAATCCGAATACCAAAACAGAGGATAGTCCACGTCACCAAGATTGTTTCAGTGAGTGTATTTATCAACTGAAAAAACAAAAAACATGCCACTCCCGAAAGAACGGCAGTTTTCCAGTGGACCATGATGGTAATGGTCTTTTTCCTCGTCCCGGCTTGCGAAGTCCGGCATGTGCCACTTGGGGGCCCTTGTTTGCATGTCTCGAATCGACCCGGTGTCTCGAATCGAGTTTTTGGCGGATGTGGTCCCACAGGTTCAGCAGATGTTGCGAAGGCTGGGCCGTGTGATCTTCAAAAGCATCAAACAAAGATCCAGTGGATCAAGGAAGTAGGGATCTCAAACAATGATAAACAATGAAAGATATGAAAGTAATACATGAAAATTAAAATATGACCTCTTTGACCCTTCTTGATCTGTTTTTGGCCCTCTCAAAGAAACCATCCGCGCCATTTCCGTGATGCTCGATGGCGCGTTTTCTTTCTGCGTCTTCTGCTGCGCAGGTTCCAGGAATTGACGCAAGATTGGCAGGGCGAACTCCAACAACTCGAGGCCGTTCGAAGCCGACCGAACTCGCTTCGAACTCGATCAAACGAGGCCTCGCCGGACTCGTCTTCTTACGGTTCTGGGGAAGGAGTGGGGGCGCGATAGTTTCGGCACCGAGAGCGGTTTGGGGGTGAAACTTGGGTGTTGGATCAAAACAAACCCTATGACCTTTGTATGTTTTTAAAATCATATTGCTCCTTTCTCCCAGCTCACATCGCATATACCCGGACCGCACCTTCCACCCCTTGATTCCACCGGCCGCCTTCACACCACCGCCAGCGCGGTCGCTTGCCTGCTTCGACGTCCGGGCGTTCTGTCCAGGACCCCGCGGACAATGAGTCGTTCCCGGACCTGCAGACCGAGCAAGATTGGGTCCCGCGCTGAGTCGGTTCTCGATGTGAAACAGAACGGCAGGGGTTTGGAGTCGGGTTTGGAGTGTTGAGAGAGGGGACGGAGGAGAGGAGAGCCCAACACTTCGGTTTTTTTCTGGCTAGGTAGAAAGACCCTTTTTGGACTGGTTACGGGAAAGGAACATGCAAGCAAGTTCGCCCAGCTATTGTGGAGGACAAAAAAACAAGATGGAGCCCACGAACCCGAATGCAAACACGTTCGAAAAGCTACATATGTCCAAATGACACTCTTGTAGGACACTCTTGTGGGACACTCTTCTGGGACACTCTTGTAGGATACTCTTGTGGGTCACTCTTGTAGGACACTCTTGTGGAACACTCTTACAGGACACTCTTGTAGGACACTCCTGAAAGGCACTCTTGTGGGACACTCTTGTAGGACACTCTCGTGGGACACTCTTGTAGGACACTCTTGTCGGGCACTCTTATGGGACACTCTCTTGTGAGACACTCTTGTAGGACACTCTTGTGGGTCACTCTTACACGACACTCTTGTAGGACACTCCTTGTGGGACACTCTTGTAGGAAACTCTTGTGGGATACTCTTGTGGGACACTCTTGTGGGACACTCTTGTAGGACACTCTTGTGGGACACTCTTGTGGGATACTCTTGTGGGATACTCTTGTAGGACACTCTTGTGGGACACTCTTGTGTGACACTCTTGTAGGAAACTCTTGTGGGACACTCTTGTAGGACACTCTTATGGGATACTCTTGTAGGACACTCTTGTGTGACAGTCTTGTAGGAAACTCTTGTGGGACATGGGACACTCTTGTAGGACACTCTTGTGGGACACTCTTATGGGACACTCTTGTGGGTCACTCTTGTGGGACACTCTCATAGGACACTCTTGTCGGACACGTTTGTGGGACAATC